GATCTAACATACTGAATGATATGCATAATTACTATTGCGCTGCATGATAATTAGACATCAATAATTAGCAGCTCACACAAATAACTTCAATTAGTATTACTTTTATGCAGTTGAACCAAATGTTTACAGTTCTTTCATTCTCTGTTCTCCATGATCTATAATCAGCAAGTGATGACAGTTTCCTTAATGCCACGTTCAGCTCAATCCCCCTCATACATCCACACTTACTCTTGCACATAATAAGAGAGGAAGATCTGGGATTCAAGTCCAAAGGTAAAACTCCCTGTTCTTTTGACTGTGCTGCTCCTTACTCTGACTTCTCCCCTGTGCCACCAGCACCACCTGAGGGGTACTTCATCAGTCTATGAAGTTGTTCCCCACTCCTGGCCCCAGCCCTAGGCATCCTAACTGCCTGGGGTGGCATAATTCTGGGCCACGTGGACAGTCAAGCAGGGGTGACTGAATGAGCACCACACAGTAGGGAAGAAGGATGGGGGAGACACAGGCCAGGCTAAGGAGAAAAATTTCAAAAAGAGACTATGTAGAAGAACCACAGAATCCTGTAAACCAAAGATCTCAGAGGTGGAAGGGACTATAGAGGTCACCTAACTGAAATAGAAGAAACTGCTTCTATAACATCCTCCCTCTCCCCAAAGTGGTCATTCAGCCTCCAGATGGAGACCTCCAATGATGGGGGTGTCACTGTCTCCCAAAGCAGGTTATTCCACTTTAAGATACTTTTAATTGTCAGGAAGTTATTTACATCTATCTAAAATCTGCTCCTCCAGGGCCAAGCCAAATTTTAATCCCTTAAATGACAAGTTTTAATTTCTTGTTTGCATGACAGACCTTCCGATGCTGAAGACAGCTACCCCTACAAGTCTTCTCTTCTCCAGATCAAATACCTGTAGTTCCTTCATTGATTCTCATAAGGCATAACTTCAAGGCCTTTCACCATATTTTTCACCCTTCTCTAAATCATCTATATCCTTCTTGAAATATGGCACTTAGATTTAATCAGTTCCAGGCAGAATACAGGAACCATCACCTCCTTTGTTCTGAGAGTCTGCCTCTCAAGGTAGCAAAGATCACTTAGCTTTTTGGTCATCTTATCACACTGTTGACGTGCAAAGCACTAAAAGGAAACATTATTCAGCCATGCCTCTACCATCTTGTACTTGTGAAGTTGATTTTTTGGACTCAAGTATAGAGTTTACATCTGTTCCTATCATATTTCTTCCTATTATATATGAACCATTGATCTAACTTGTTTAAATCTTTCAACTCTTGACTTTGTTATCCAGTGTCTGGGCTATCCCTCTCAGCTTTGAGACATCTACAAATTTGATAAGCATGTTCTCCATTTTTTTTTTTTGTTGGGGCAGTTGCCGTTTTTTGGGGGGGGGGGTTTAAGTGACTTGCCCAGGGTCATACAGATAGTAAGTGTCAAGTGTCTGAGGCTGCATTTGAACTCAGGTCCTCTTGATGCCAAGGCTGGAGCTCTATCCACTGTACCACCTAACTGCCCCCTCTATATTTTTATTAGTTATCAACAAAACTATTAAATGATACAGGAACATTTATAGTCATCCACAGCTTATTCAGTCTCTATTTTTATAAAATGATGGTATAATATTAACAATGATAACAATAATAGCAGCTAACATTTATATGCTGCTTTGTATTCATCTTCAGTTACCCACTCTGGCTTCCATCTTCTGTGTTTTTATTTTAAAAATCTAAGATATCCAATGAATTTCTGGTAGATCCACATTGTTCTCTTTTAGATAGTGCCCCCCTTTCTTCCAAGTCATAATAATATATTATTTTGTTATGAGAATTTCATTCTTGATAGTTTCCTACCCCTCTTAGATTGAGTGACTTTCTAGAATTCTAGGCCATGTAAAATCATATAATCTCAGAACCTTTTGAATTCACTTCCCAAATTTAGGATGTAATCAGACTAAGTTTGATTTTCCTCTCTTTTTCTATGATGAATTCTAGGAGAGGATGGTCTTCTCCTCCCAAGGTTTATATTATTTCTACTTTAGCTACCAGTTCTTCCCTTTTTGGTCAGAATCGAGGCCATATTCCTATTGTCAAGTCCCTCTTTTGAAAAATGAAAATCGTCACTAAGGTGAATCAATAATTCATCAGCTAGTCTGCCTTTTACCAAGACAGAGTTTCACAGATGTTTAAATAATGAAGTGTTCCACCATTACTATATGACATCTCCATGTCAGTATCTTAACCTATTTTCAAGACTCATCACATAGTTACTCCTTTGGTCTAGGTGGTCTGTTGCATACACTTATAACAATGTCTTTTTCTCCTTTTGCCAAAGCCCACCTAAATAATACCTGCCACCATGCTTTCCCTTTCTACTTTCTTATTAATAAATAGTGCTATTCTGCCACTCCCTTTGTCCATTCTGTTCCTTTTACATAAAGTACATTCCCTTTAATAGCTGTATTCCAGTCATGGGTTCTAGCCCATCAAGTCTCAATATACCAATGAGGCCAAATTTTCGTACTTCTGTTTGAACCTCTCTAATTCATCTTGTCTATTACCCAGGCTTTGGCATCTGTGTGTGTTGGTCAAAGATGAAAGGACTGATGGTTAGGTCTCTTCTTCAATATCATTTCCTATAAATTATTAGTCCTGTCTACTGAAATTCTTCCCACATTGTTCTCCATATTGTCTGTGGTAGTATGAGTCCTGGCAGATAGATGTCGGTAGTTTTCTCCCTCTCCTTCCATTTTCAGTTCAAAACACTCCTGATCTAACTACAAGACTCTAGTTCAACATATTTTTACCATTCTCTACTCCTAGCCAAGAGCTTATCTTTCCTATATCTTAAACCACGATGCCTCGCTTCTTTTAAGGCATAGCTTCTACACAAAGCCTTTCCAGATCCTCCCAAAGGCCCTCTTCCTAACTAACCTGCATGTCTTCTCTTTATATTCATGGTGTATATGCTTATCCATGGTCTTACTACTTCCTCTGATACAATGTAAGCTCCTTGAGAGTAGGGTTTACTTCACTCTTTGTATTTATAGTCCCAGCACGAAGCACAGTCCCTGGCACCCTGTAGGGACTTAATAAATTTTTGCTAATTGACTAAATGATGGTCTAAAACAGAAGTGTCAGACCTGAGGCCCATTGCCACAAGCAGTCAGCAAAACTCTCTAATGCTTCCAGGAACCAGATTAAAATGTAATTAGGAAATGTTTGACAAAATAAATAAAAATGTAATATAACATAGATAATGTTAATTTGTGGCTTTCTAAGTCAACATGCAGCCTGCAGGGATCTGTTTCTATTTGAGTTTGACACCAGTGGTCTTGAAATTCAAATCTTATTTTCAGATACCACTTTCTCAATCACTTGTTTACCTCTAAAAATCTGCCTTCTTTTTCTGAAGACCCTACAATCAATAACACTGGTTAAAAACACCACCTGTGCCCCTAAAAGCTCCAGTTTCAGTTTAATGCCCATGGCTATATAATCTGATTCACAGAAATGCTTTCCAGGTTTCTTCAGACAATATTACTTAACCCCCACAAGAATCACTAGGAGTGGGTAGTAGTTTGGGAGGTTGATACCACTTGAGGCTCTCTGTCAGGCCCTGGATACATATTTTAGAAAGAGAGTTGATCTCTCTTATTTTTCAAATAACATTGACAAATAACCACCTCTAAATCCCAACCACCACTACTTACCAACATATGCTAATTATTACCAGTTGACCTCTCTTAAAAACACCCAGGGGCCTACATCATCCTTTGTGGAAGACAAGAAAAGAGCTCTTTAATCCTCAGAGGTTCCAGTGCTCCCCTCTATGGGAAGAGCCGGCAGACTAATCACAAGAGCTCCAAATGTTTACTCGTCCTTCATCTTCTTCTCCATGCCCCATCCTTCCATCTTTCAACCTCCTGATTCCCATTAGGGTTCTCCTCTGCCTTGTCATGTCCATTTTCTTTGCTTTCTCCTTGAAGCACAAAGAACTCTATGCTTCCCTGATAAGCCTAGAGAGGAGAGATATGCTCTTCCAGCCTTTTCACCTTCTCCTTTAGGAGGAAGACCAATTCCCATTTCATTCCTACACAGCAGCTGTTCCATGTCATTGGCAGAACAAATATAGCACAATCTCTACAGGTGACTGAAAGAGGAGAAGCGATTTGTCCTATGCTCAAGCAGAGAAGGGGAGTGGGGGTGATTTGGGGAAAAGGAGAGAGAAAACAGGAGATGGATCTTTGGGAATTTCTGTTTGGGATCAGGTAAAGAGGGCTCCAGGGTCCTGGAAAGGAGGTTTGAAGAGACAGATGATTCTGACCCAACTGCCCTTTGGCCCTCAGCAACTAGTACTGGAAGGAGGCTGGCAGCAGTTGAAGTTGGGGATATTCAGCCCATACTCTCTAGGGAAGGAAGGGAGCTGGGAAGAGATCAAAAGCTGTCCCTTCTGATCCCACCCCATGCTACCCTCTATACCCCCAATAAACAAAAATGACTAATCCAAGTTTTCTCACATGAGGCGGGTCAGGTTTGGTATGATTGGGGGATGGGATGTGGGGAGAGGGAAGGAATGATAGGATGCTTCTTTGTGCTCCAAACTCTCCTCTCCGGCTCAATGATTCTAGAAATTCCCGGGAAGGGAAAAACAAAGCCTTTTGATCCCACAATTAGAGATAAAAGGCTTATTATAATGCAAATACTGTGGAAGAGGATGGATGTGTCATCTAAGTGCTTTCAAGGTTTACCAAAATGGATTTCTATTTCAGACAGAATTCAATATCTCAGAGCCTCGCCAAAGACCCTTGTCACAGCAGCACAGAATGCTAGGACTCACCTGGGAAAGTGCAAACCCTTTGTAAATTCATACACATCCTTTCCTGACCTCCTCACTTCACCTCTCCCCCTCACCCCGCCCCCACCCCCAGCAACCTGCCACCTTCACAAGGTTCCCAACCCCTACAGCAGAATTCGAAGGCCATTCATACCTCTCTCAAACGAATTTTTAATGTCATTGACTTCGACCTGCGATCCAGGCACTCTAAAGATACCTTGCTGCTGGAGACCTGGGAAAGCAAAAAATACGAGCATGTTAATGATTCCCTTCCCCCTTTGCTCCTTCCCCATCCACATCCCCAACCTTGCAATGCATCATTCATAACAAAAGATAGGGGATCAGTTAGGAACTAAGAACACCAGGCCTGACTAGCTAGCAACTAGCAAAGAAAATGCCTTTCTAGAGCCAAAGTGGCCATGAGCCAGAAGCTTGAAAACTAAATTTCCATGATAAAAAGGAGTGAGGAATAAAACTGGATTTTTTTTTTTGCTATTGTTTTCATATCTTCTCAGAAGCGTAATTAGGAATCTTCATACCGAGGCAAGTGCCACAAACAACACTGGGGGAAGGAAATATGAAGTCACGGTTCTGGCTGATCAATGTGGAAGGAGTCCTCTCAACACCCTAACTTAAGACTCTTGCTAAGCTTGTGCAGAGGAGACAGGTGAGCTTACTTTAGTGTGCCATTTTAATTATTCTTGCTAAGTAGGTGCTAGCCTCTACCCTTTGTAGACTGCAAAAGGGCCGAAAGTGCAGTCAACACTTTCTAAATTCAGTACCCTGGAGCAAAGCCCCGATGCCCTGCCTTAGTTAGCTTGCTACCTCAAATCCAGGCATCTGAATTTGAATCCAAGTCTATGGAAATGGAGCAGTATCTACATAAGGCCAATTTTTAAAATTACTTAAAATAGGAAGCTACCTTTTGACAAGCTAGGGTCATTATAAGACATATGTCTTATTTCCACTACTGCACTATATAATTCCCTGAGGAGCAGAGAGCTTGTCTGCTGTGCTTTTGTATTTCAGACAGTTTCTGAGCATACAGTAGTATTCAATAAAAATTTACTGAATGAATTAACGGAAGAAAGAGATAATCAAATGGTGACTAGCATCAATGACTGGTCAACTGATTTGAACAGTAAACAAAGTTAGAGCTTAAAATGTTTAGAGGGGGGAAGTATGTATACCCCATCCCTTTCCTCTGTTCTTCCCTTCTCACTTTGCTTTGTCTCCCCTTCCACTCTTTTCTTCCCCTTCCCTAGAAAGCACCCACACAGAGAATTTGTAGAGAACTCGAACAGAAATTCGACCAATCAGGAGGAAGCCAGGGAAGATGGAATCTTCCCACCACCCACCCCACCCAGATGAAGGTGATGGTGTTGCCAAGGGCTTACCGTATAAATTGATATAGCGGATGCAGCTTTCCACCACCAGGGGTATGGCCTGCCCTGAATCCTTAAGAAACAATGAAGACCTTTTTCACTTGGTTTGATTTGTAAAACATTTGGATGTAATCTCAAACACACGTAAGCTCCAGATGAAAGATGAGCACCGCCCCCAAGTTAGTGAGAAGCTAAGCAAGTTGCTGCCCCACCTTGTCGTCTTCATGAGCAGGTTGGAAATGATGAGGAGTGATTAATTATGCAGGAAAAGGCATGGCTACTCTAGTGTAGGAGAAATGCTCTGTCTGGTTACCCAGCTGAGAGAGAAGCTGTGGTTCTTGCAGATGTAGCCTTCTCTTCACAGAGAATGCACTCAGGGCACTCCTGTTGGCTAGCCCTCCCTGTTTGTGGGGGATGGGAGGATGGTGTGGATTTGGATCCTACTGCTTCAGTGATCCCAGCTCCTCTGAAAAGCTAGAGGATAGAGGAGATGGGAGATTCCCAACATTCCAGAGACACAGTAGGTTTGTAAACCAAAGCCGTTCTGGAGTGGAGGGGATTCACTCTCTCACTCCCAAATTGCCCCATTCCAGCTCTGGGCTCCAGGGGCTCTGGAGTAAAAGGGTAGGGACCCAACTCCTCTTCCCTTGCAATTGGACCATCAGCTCAGAAAGAGCACAGGTTGGGGACAAAGGCCACTTAAAGTTGACCCATCAGGCACTGAACGCCTGAGGCACTGCCGCTTATTTTTAAATAATCTAAGCATTGACATTCTCTTGAAAGGAATAAATGCTACAGCTAATGTTCATTGCCTGAGTAATGTTCAATGAATGCCCAGGGTGAACCACGTGGCCCCAAGATGTCCATCTGAGGTATGAATGTCTTCAATTTCCTCTTTCCACATTGACCTTTTATGCAAAAATTTTTATACCCCAGGATCTGGGAAAAAGATGGATTTTTTTTCATGGTTCAGTTGACATCCAACATTAACCACTCCCTCAGGCTAATGAGGGACATTAGCTGGTTGTTGACCATGAGTTGTAACACTATCAAAGGATTTTTTTTTAAAAAAAAAAGCCTCCCAAATACTGTCAGTTATAGAATTATATAACATTGGAGTCAAAAGGACTTTTGAGATCATTGACATCAACTCTCTCATTGTACAAAGAAGGAAACTGAGGCCTTGAGAAGGGAAGTGACTTGCTCAAAGTCATGTAAATATGTTAAACCAAAAAAAATGAAACACTCGCTAGCTACCTTAAAAAAATAAGGAAACAAGTGTGCAACACATGGCAGGCCTCACAACAAGGCGACAGCTTACTGGGATTCTTTATTTTTCCCCCTAACCCTCTAGGTAATACTTTCCTCACTGAGAATCAATGGAGAGGAAGAGACAATTGGTCAATTGGTAGAGGGAATGTTGCTTTTGTGCTGGAAGACATTATCTGGGACAGGGGGAAACACCAGCCATTCCCCTCAAACCAAGAGGAATGAAAGGCCTGTCTAGTAAATACCTGGTTCCTGGCTCGAGCATTTCTTCTTCCTCTGATAACCAAAAACAAAAGCAGCAGAGCAGGAGAAAAAGAAAAGATTACGCAAGAATGGGATCAGTTAGAGTAAGCATATCCTTCAGAGAACGTGAGAGCTCAGACGCGATGGCAGCCAAGAAAGGTCAAAGTTAGACCCAGGGAGAGACTGGCCAGGTGGGGTCTCACCCCAGCCCTGAGATTTGGTGACCAATGGGGCTCCTGTCCCTTGCCACATGCCTCAGACCAGAATTCTAACATGGCTCCTTCTCTCACCCCACCCAGTGCTTCAGGGCAAGGGAATTCCCACAACCTCTTTGTCTCATCCAAAGGCAGGACTAGAGTCCTTCTGAAGGTGATCCTCATACCTTCATATTCACATGATTCTTCCCCAGAGATTCCTTCCCAGATTAATTTTACTCCTGATAAAATGAATTACCCTTCCAATGTCACTTTGAGTGAAATATGTCTTGATGGAGGTTGGAGAAGGGAGTATACTGGAAATCTTTGGAGTCACAAGATACTTGATTTAGAGATAGAAGGGGCCTTAAGTGTCATCTGATCTAACCACTCATTTTACACATGAGGAAACTGAGGCCCAAGAGGCAAAATTATTTTCACAAGGTAACATAGTAGCAGAGCTAAGATTCAAACCCAAGTTTTCTGATTTTGAGGACAATGTTTTTTCCATGATACCAAAGGTGAAGCCACCTTACTATGAGGTGTTTTTCTATTTCAATAACCACCCAGAGATTCCATTCCATCTACTCTGTATTTTATATTGTATATATCTAGTTATTTTCATGTTTTTTTTCTCTTTTAGAATATGATCTCCTTAACTTAAGGGCAGGAACTGCTTTTGTTTTTGCTTCTGTTCCACTCATTTCAGTACTTAGCACACTGTCTAGCATATAGTTAGCAATTAACAAATATTTATTGACTGACTGACATTAAGTCAACTGGACAGATTTTTCATTTGAACCTTCATCCAATATACTTCCATCTACTTCATCCAATTGGTCTGCATGAATTTTGAACTATAAGAGGGAAAGAAGTGTCGCTTTTGTTTTTATTACTGCTGTCTGATGACATATGTTCTATAGAAGCTAGGGCATTAGGGATTCACCTGGGGTCCCTAGAGATTGGTGAGAACAAAACTATCACGTTGAAGCTTTTCAAGAAGATGGGGCTAGTGTGCTAGAAAACTATATAATAAACTATAGGGAACTCTTTTATCAAATGTTTCACCCACTAGAATTCTCCACTATGTGGCACCACTATTGTACCCACGTTTGCTCTTGGTTACAAAAACACAGCATGGCAACAAAAATGATCTTTTGTAGCAGTATCTTAAAATCTCAAAATATTGAGAATTCCTCACAAAGTTAGATTTCCTGTTACAAAATTAGATTCTATTCTAACACTAGAGCAGGGAGTCACATTTTTCTCAGTCTGTAATAACAAACAGGATTCTGAAAACACCTGTGCCCGCAGCTACAAGGTAGAGCTTTATTACTTGATGTGACAAAGTCTCCTGTTGTTTATTCAGTGCTTATTATCTTCATACCAGCAGGATTATTAGTTACCTGTGCTGATGCTATATTAAATAATCTTTCACGAATGTGACATTTCAAAACTAATGAAACTTCTTTATTTCTGTAAAGTCCTACAGGGAGATTTCCGAATCATTATAGAGTGATTAAGTTATGTTCAGAATAGTTTTAGGGTTAAGTACATTTTATTATATTCTAATCTTTTGAAATATATAATAAAAATAAGGTACAATATTAAGTAATGAAATTGATTATGGAACAAACATTTTATAGTAAGTCTATAAGACTATTACTCTATAAGTGATGATGCCATTGTTTAAAACACTGTATGAACTCCTTTTTGGAAAATGTCTTCAGAGCCACTTTATTAGCCAAACAAGAAAAACAAACTTATAATGTTAACATCACATCTTGTTTTGGAGCCCAAATTGTATCACAATTTGGTCATTCATCTTAGTCATCAGATTTGGCCCTAAATGATGCTAGATTATTTCCAAAAAATTAAATATACCTTCAAAGAAGAAATATTTGTCACCATTTGATATATCAGAAAAAGCATGCAATAGGCTAAAATGGGAATTACCAAGGAGAAATTCCAGAAATATGTGGAACAATGGCAGTATCATTGGAATAAGCCTGTAGCTTCCTTAGCTGATGAATTTCAAGAGGACCACATTTATTTGGATGTTCAAGACCTGTTCCATTCTTTGGATTTCAGCCACATTATTTTATATAAGCCACACCTTGTGAGGCAGGCTTAATTTCTATGTCCATCAACCTCCTGATTGAGAGCGGAGGGAGGATGAGTAGGTGAATTAAAGAGATGCCTACTCTTCAAATGTTGTATGCCTCTGTTAACCAGATTATTCAATTAACAAAAACACTCCATTCCTTAATAACACCGGGTAACAGAGAATTCACTGTTTACAGGTGGTAACTAATGAGCCTTTTTAAAAGAACTCAACATATGTTGAGACCTAGATCCCATCTCCACACTTTTGTCTATGCCATTTTCTTCAGTCTGCAATACCTTCCCTGCTCTTCTCTACCTCCAAATATCACTAGACTCTTTGCTTATACTAATCATAAAATGCCTTGCATTATTATCTTTTTATGTGTGTATGGTCTATCTCCCAGTTAGGCTATCGGCTTCTTATCTTATCATATTTCCTTTCAACCTTTATATACCTGGCAGACTTTTCTACACATAGTGGGAACTCAAAAATGTTTATTAACTGATTTATTGATTAACACAAAGATTTAAGATGGGAGATACTGGAGGAGACCTTTTAAAAAATTATTTGTGAAGGGAGGGTAAATATAAGAAAGAAGATGGAGGAAAAGGGGATTAAATCTAGAATAGGGTTCCATCTTTTCCAGAAATGATACAGCCCTCACCATGGGACTCTTCACAAACATAATTCTCTCCTTAATCCAGAAGGATGAATACTTACTTTCTAGGAAAACCTCCCATAGTAATATATTATCTCCTTGGACATCCATTCCATATGGTAAAACAGTCCCTCCCATCCTCTGCCAGTTCTTGTCACTCTCAACCATCAATTTCACCTGAAAATACTCTCGCCTCTTCTTTCCCAATACTAAGCACACAAAGGTAAGAGCCCAAAGACCTCTTGGGATTCTGTTTTGTTGGTGGGATCTTCCTTATAACCTTGGGCCACTATCTTAACTTCAGGCCAAGGCCACACCCTACTGACTGATCCCACAATAGCCCTATGCTGTATCACCCTCCCCCTCTCCTGGAAAGGCAGCTGAAGTTGGCGGACATTTGCTCATTACAGCATATGCCCACTCCTCCCTCCTTCAAAATCCCTGCTAAGAGAAATGCTTGCAGCAGTGGTAGAGGCAGGATTTTACTGAGGCAGGATTGAGAGCTCTTACGGGAAACAGTAACTTCTCCAGACACCTAAGTGTTTCATTTTCTCTAGATGGTATCTGTCAACTAGATAGCATTTGGCTCTCAAACCAACCAGCTGGGCTAATTTTTTTTCTCCTTAAGTAATGCCGAGAATAACGATTTTCTTCCTCAGCTACTCTCTTCTCTTCCCCCACCTGCTAAACATCAGTGAGTCTTTCCAAAAGGGCTTTGCCATCTACCTCAAGGTGTTACAACTAGGACAGCTTTCTGTTACTCCAGCCAGGAAAAGAGAAAGTGAATTCAATGGAAATGTGTGGGATTTATTTTTCATTTAGGTATTTTAAGTGGGTGTTACATGAGAAGATACATGTAAAGCATTTTGCAAACCCTTAAGAGTGCCATACAAGAGAATTATTATTATTATTATTATTATTACTAGTAGTAAAAATAATTATAACCTATGACTTCAAAAAGTATACTCCTGACTCCAACTCTTCTGGTGGGGGAAAAGAACAGGACAAGAGGAATAAATTGTAAAGAGGGAGGTTGTTCAAAGGAGAAACTAATAAATATAGAATATGCTTTCTTCCTCTGGTATCATGCCAAGTTTTTTTTAATTAGTTTTTTTGTATGATCCTCAGGGATTTTCTTTCTGTTTCTCTCAGTAAATCAGTCCTCTTAGTCTGGGGAAGGACAGAAGGTAACATCAGGGTATTCCTTTAACTCTGTCCCCCACACCCAGGACTGCTGTCTGCTGTGATAAGACACGGCTGACTGAGATACATGTGCCAGTATTTCATTTCCACTTAGGTTCCATTGGGGGTTGTCACTCACTTTCTGCCTTTATGAGCTCTTTGCTCTTTTCCCATCTTATTCCTGCCCCACCCCTAATAGTGCACAGGATTGTGGGAAGGAACTCAGGGGAGACAATGGCTTGGATTGGAAACCTTCACTGAGACCCAGAGCAGAGCACAAAGAGAAGGCATGGTGGAGGCAATGGATTAAGTGTGGAGTAGGAAAAGGCTTGGCCGCTAAGGTGAATATGTAGCAGGAAAGAGAAGGAAGGCTGCCATTACATCTGGAGCATTCACAGACTCTTCAGGTTTCCCAGCAAGTACCTTAATGAACGTTTCCATACGGCCGTTAAAGAGTTTATGATTATACACTGAGAGAGGCCTAGGTCTCCTCATTTTCTGTGGTTTAGGGGGAAGACATGGGGGCCTAGGGGAAAACGGAATAAAAGAAATCAACAAAACAACCAACGTAAACAGGCAACTGGAAAAGCTCTGAAAACTCATGGCCAGTGATGTGCTTGGAGGGTGGGGGTGGGGTGGGGATGGGGGTGGAGACAGGGTACAGAAATACACCACCACAGTCCTTGAGTCCCACGGCTTCTGTCTACAGCACTCCATCTGTAAGCCTTCAGAAGTCTATGACTATACTTAAAGAAATCTCAACCATGCTTAACACCATGTTAAGCAGTTTTTAGGATTAAACTGTTAAAGCAACATGGGCATGTAACTGAAATACATGCTAAATCACCACTATTCAATAGGAAGAAAATAATAACATCATATCCCAAAGACCGTTGCCATGTCAATCAGAAGGTTGCCATCCTGAAAAGCTGACAAGATGGAGAAGAAATCAGGAGAGAGAGATGTTATCTGATAGCCAGAGAAAGCAAGAGACTTTCAAAGATGACCATAAAGGGTAATTTCCATTGTTTTGGCTGAAATTCAATGTTCAATCACAGCAAAATTATCTTCCTAATGCCTCTTGGCATTTCAGATGCACTGTATTAATCTTATCATACTGGCCCGCTATGAACCAGGTAATTATTATCCCCATCTTACAGATGAAAAAGCTGAGGTCCAGGGAGAGGGTCTCACTTGAATGAGATTAAAAAACAAAAAAACAAGTGAATTAGGACTGGAATCAGAAACAACCATCTAACTCCAGCCCATTAGCCATTGGCCCCAAGTTCTGTCAGCTGGGCTGAAAGTGTCTTGCTTTAGTTGAAGCTGCCTTTTCCTGAGCTCTACTCTTCCACAGACTAGAGCAGCCAAATAAGAAAACACCAGCATGATTCACCAGAGACAGTGAAATAGCCACAGACACTGGACATGTTTCCAAGGTTGCTTAACATGCATATACCTGTGGGTTTCTATTTGCTCATCTTTTATTACCCGGGGTGGCCTGACTCAACATGGTTATTTTCCTGGAATAATCTATTTGAGATTAAGAAAAATTCCCACCAACCAAGTAAAAGGGTCACAGTTTTAGAGGTGGAAGCTTATCCTGTAGTGTCAAACCGAAATAGAAAAGAACCCCTGCAAGCCACAAATTGACTTAGAAAACCACAAATTAACATTACCTATGTTGTAGTGTATTTTATTAAACATTCTCAAATTACATTTTAATCTGGCTCAGGACTCACTAAGGAGTTTTACCTTACCAGCCATGAGTTTGACACTTCGGATTTCACTTTACAGATGCGGAAACTGAGGCCTAGAGAGGTTTAGAGACTTGACCAAAGTAACACAGGTAATACACAGCAGAAATGAGATCTGAATCCAGGTGTTCAAAGTCCAAAGACAGTCTAGGATCTTGAATAAAAATTTGGAAGCAATATTGGGGCTCCTCTCTCAGGGTGAAGTATAGAATTATAAAACCGGAAAGAATACCCCCCCCTTTCCATTTTATAGGTGAGGAGCCTAACACTCAGAACAGGAAGTGACTTGCCCAAGGTCACACAATTAGAACTGGCAGAGAGTATCAAACATGCCAACTGGCAGTCATGGGGCAGTCCCATAGCCAAGCATGGTTTCTTCCCTGCTACCAGGGCACTTGTTGGCTTACTGTACCAATATGCCCAGCAGACCTAAGAAACCCATCCGATCCTCTCCCAGATACCAAAGAGCAAATGTTGCTGGCCCCAGGCAGGACATGCATGGGAAGACACAGCTGACATCCAAAACAGCTAGTTGCAACCACTGTGAAAACAAGGGCTGAAGGGGTCAGTTTTACATGGAAAAAGTCTAAAGAAACAACTAAAAAAGGTTGAGACACAAGAGGCAAGATCCTTCCAAGCCCAACACCAATCTGCAGAATTTTGGTGAGACAAATCCATCTATGTCATTTTTTTAAAGTGGCCTTTTGGGGGCTATCGGTAATCTGTGTGCCTTGGTGTTACTGATTAGAACGACCAAAAGAAAATACCAAAAATTCAGCACAAGGCCACAGGCTTCCAAACTCTGGAAGAGGGTGAGACTTGAAGAAAACAAATATGTTTACCTTGTCTGAAGCGATGGATTGGGGGAGGGGGCAGAGAGCAATAGAGGGAAGGGTGTTCTAACTTTTTCAAGGGATTTACACATCCATAATTTAGTCTTATCCTCACAACAACCCTGTGAGGTAGGCAGAGATTATTATGCCCATTCTACAGATGGGGAAGTAGTGGAGATTCAAAATGGAGCCCACATTCATATAAGTTAGGCAGTGGTAATCATAAGTAGTGATACATTCAGGTCTCTGGAACTTGAATCTGGGGGGCAGAGGCTCACAGAATTATGGAAATGGTTTTGTCATGAACTATCCAGTGGAATGGAGGAGACTTCCATGAAAACTCAGGGCCGGTATTACCAGATCCCCTTTGATGCACAGGCTGGATATATAAGGATAAAAAAAAAATCTAGGGTGTTTGCCTGTAGGCCTCCTCTTAAAAACAAAAACAAAAACAAAAACAAAAAACCTCTCAGTCCTTTGGAGCTTAGAGACACAAGGCAAAGGAAAGAGGTAGGAGACAATTTCACTTGTGTTGTCCACCCCTAGAAAGAAAACTAAGGATCAGTTAAAAGCAAACAGACTGATTTCTTGTCAAGGTGCTTTGGAAGGAGGCCTCTGAGGTAGAATTTCCAAAAAGGAAACAAAGGGGTCCCAACTTTGTACAACATCAAATTGGTGCAGACTTACTGAAGTGCTGGATGGGACACAAGGTGGGGAGCAGAGGAAGGGCTCAGCCAGGGAAAGTGAGGCAACCTAAGTCTTCCATCTCTTCTGCTGGTCAGTGGCAGAGAGAGACAGAAAGACAGAGAGACAGAGACAGAGACAGAGAGAAACAGAGAGAGAGAGAGAGATACAAGGAGGAGAGGAAGAGAGGGGAAGAGGGAGACACACACAGAGAGGAAGAAGAGGAAGGAGAAGTAGTAGAGGAAGAAGAGGAGGAGGAGGAGGATGAAGAGGATGAGAAGGAAGGACAAAAAGGAGAGGGGGAGCAGAGGAGGAGAGAGAGAGAAGAGGGTAAGGAAGAGAGAGAAGGTGAGGAAAAGATAAAGGGAGAGAAAGACAGAAGAGAGAGGGGGGAGAGAGAGAGAGAGAGAGAGAGAGAGAGAGAGAGAGAGAGAGAGAGAGAGAGAGAGAGGGAGAACATCACAGACACAGAGAGGAAAAAAGAGAAACCAGGAAGTAATGTCCCCTTTCAGTCTCAAGTTGGATCAAATTAACACAAAATGTAAGACCTGGCCTGAAGTTTCTCCAGGGGATAAGACGACAACAGAACCCTACAGAAATGCACTGCACCCCCTTTCAAAATGGAAACAATGATCCAGTACCACTGAAAAGACACAACGATTCATGGAGGTGAACATGTTAGACATAATCTCCAAGAATGCCTCTGACTGGGCAAGAATTCTCACATGATTTTGCCTATAAAAGTACCCCAGAAAATCAGCCTGGAAAATAGCTGCCAGATTTTAGTTTGGAGAACATAATCTAACTCCAACACAAGGGAAGAAGTTCATGCACTAGGCAGCCAAAATCAAGACTTTGGGGACAGTCCTGTATGTGTCATGGTCTGTGTACCGAAGCTTGTCTCTTTTTTGCAAAGACATCAATCTACTTATAAAACAGCAGTGCAGACCTTCCCAGACTCTCATCAACAGCAATCATTATTCAAGTTTGTTTGTTACCCCTGGCATAAGTACACCAGGCACTGAAGAAAGAGGTCTGAGTTTAGAGAAAATCTGGATTCTGGGCGTTGTAGAAAAGTGAATTTTTAAAACATATATAGAATTGAAAAACAGTGAGGTCAACAACCACCTTTTCCCATCTCATCTCGCATCCCCTATTCTTCTCTCCAAACCCTGTGCACCAGGCAAAGGTGACCTGTCTCCACAGGATCCGCCATCTATATTGGGAAGCTGTACTGTGTAACAGAATAAGCATTAGCCTTAGAATTTAAAGATCAAGGTCAAAGTCCCTGCTCTGGCATGCACTAGTTGTAAGACCTCAGAAGGATTGTTTGTTTAAAAAAAAAAAAAAGACCAAAAAGAAAAAACAGCGAGGTCAAAACAAGTTAAAACTAGATTTGGAGCGAAAGCAATACTTATTTAATTCATTTATTGTTCTACACTTTGTTACTATCAACTCACTGAAAGTAGGATTTCTTTCCCATTACTTACTAGTTTTAAACTCAAAGTTTCTAAAAGTGCTTTCAAATTCACTTTCTGAAAACTCACATAAAAATTGGATTTTGTTTTGTTTTCATTTCAGCAACTCCCCATCTACCATTAGATAGTGAGCTCCTTGAGGGCAGGGACTGTCTTTTGCCCCCTTTTTGTAGCCCTAGTGCTTATCACAATGCCTCCCACATAACAGGAGCTTAATAAATGTTTATTGATTGATGGATGGATTACCAACTGTAACTAGTCTAGTGTCTTTGTAAACTGACTAATTTCTACACATGAGCTAAAATGGCTATCAGACCTAGCCTAGAGATGATTTTGGAGATGAAGCCTCTTGGACCTCCAGTTGAAAAGCAACAATCAAAACAATAACTTATAAGATTATAAGGCAACTGCCTCAGGACCAATCCACAGGTTTGGCAGCAGATACCCTCTCCTGAACTTTGCTGTGTGGAACAAAGTCACATGCCCAGTGAGCTCCGGAAACTAGAGGGTGGTAGAAGCTTTCATCTTCTTCACTCTTTGCAACCTTTGCTGGGAAATGTGGTCTTTAGTGCTGCCGAGAGGGGAAATATGCTCTTCTGACAAAGTGGGATTGTCAAGAAGCAATTAATGGGCTTTAAAAGGTTCTTAGAAAGCTGTTCTGCATAGCCACTGACCCCTATATGCTAAGAGGCATATAGTCTTAAGCTAAAAGTATTTCTAATGTTTCCAGGCTACTAGGACCAGAGATAGAAGCTGCCTGGGTTAGTCCTAAAAAGGACTCCTGATTTTCCTGCCTAGATCCCCCAGCAAAAGGAAAATTGTTCAGCTCAACCTTCTCCATGTTCCAGATCCCTTTCCAGGTCGATATTCATCAAGTTGTTTGGATGGCTTTCATCTCTCTCCGTGGGACAATGTCTGAATTCACATAATGTAAGACCACTTGGTGAAGCTTCTGGAGACAGAGTCTACTGTTGACTTACTCATGTCTCTGGGGAAAGATGGAGGGCAGTAAGTGGGGGCAGAAGGGAAGCTTGGCAGCCAATAACTTTGCTTCTTTCTCACACCAGGGTGGCCCATGAAGGCAAACACTTCCAATGCCTTCTAAGCATGGGTATAGCTACCATGGACGCACTCCTGGAGAAGCTCTGAGGAGTCCAGAGGTCAACAGGGCCTGGAGAAAATCCTAGTCTTGGGCAGTGATATTTGTTGTATGTGCTGGATTCTCAAAATGCTTCCCTCCCTGCCCCGGCCAAATATCTGACAGCTTTGAAGCATCTGTTTAATTTGGAGGCATCTCATGGTGGCATGCTATTGAAGGCTGACAATGATCTTAGCTGCATGATGCCCTTGCATTCCCAGGCACCCCACCTGTTTCTTTTCTTTGTTCACTGTTTAGCCCCACATCTAAAGTACTAGCTCTTTTATTGGCTTGAGCTCCTGTGGATTACTCTCTAGCCTATAAACACATACAATAAAAAGTCCTTTCTACCAAAGAGAAGACAACAAAAAACCCAGGAGACCAGGACCGCTGACCACTCTAAAAGGATGACCACCTGTCAATAGTGATCCAGGAGTGGCCAGCAAGTCAAAGGGCAGGTGGGCACTTGAGAGAGGGGCCTGAAGTAGAAAGTTTTATAGGGGTGGAGGGAGGTAAGGGTCAGCAGTTGGCTTCTTTTTCAAAGAACAACCCAAAAAAAGGGGAAGGGCACTACCTGAAATTGCCTACTTGCTCAGTTAATGTCAGCTGTTCCTCTTGAGATAATAGACTGGAACATGAGGGCTAGGGAAAATGGGTGGACATGGAGGCTTATGGGGGCAAGGGTACAAAATCTAAAGTCTTGGTACCTTGGTAATCAGTAGTAAACACTTAGTACCTATCTTGGGCATGAGCACATTGCTTAGTGTCCCAACACAGTCAAATCATGGTTGTGTCATAATTGGCCCTGACTGGCCAAGAGTAACTCAATAGTTCTCCTAGAATCTCAACATTTGGTTCAATCCCCAGTAGCGTAGATGACAGTCAGGACCTCAGTAATACAAAAAAAAAATCATTATCTCATAGAATGCAGTAAAAGGCTACCCAAATATAACCCATCTCAGTATCTGTGACCCAGGCCTATAGTTCATAGTGCTATCAGGAATTTAGGAACCAGTTGGCTAGACATGATACTGTAGCTAAAAATGGGTTTGTCAGATTTTATGAATCTTCTCATATCAGGGGCATCAAGAATATCACAGTGTATTTAATGTCTTCCCCATCATATTCCCCAATCTGGTACCCAACTGGACACAACCCTGTCCAATAAGAACCATGCACTGAAGCCAGGGACCATGGCCTACCTTAGACTCCAATGGGGGCAGGAAAGAAACAGTCAGCCCTCTCCTCCCTCCCCCCAACCAAGCAGGTTAAAAAACAAAGCCTTGGGGCTCTTACCTTGTGGTGCCACACTCTGCTCTTTCACCTAGGAAGAAAACTACATGTGAATTTTCAGGTGGTTTTCTCATCCGGAGATGGCACATTTATCTTTTAAAAACAAGACAAAAAACCCCCAAATGCAGGTCTTTACACCAGAAGTCAACTGACTGTGACAACTAAGAAAATGAACGCACCTGAAGGTACCTGCTGCTTGTTTCAAGGGACATGATTGTTGCTCTGCTACTGATACACCTGCCCACAGACAGGCCTTTAAAAGGTCTAGGCATCTTAGAATCCAGGGGGCCCCAATGGGATGACTGCTCCCATTACCAATAAGAGAGAATAGTGCTAGGAGACTGATAGTTCAAGGCTATTCCTAATGGGTTTCTGGATAAGGCAAATCACATTGCCTAGCACATAATAAGTGCTTAGTAAATGTACGTTGATTGATTGATTGATTGATTGGTACCTTTCTTCCAGCATTCTGAATCAGGTTATAATGGGAGATAACAGATGGACAACCAAGGGCTGACATAGAATCCACAAAAGAACCAGCACAAGACCTCTAGGGCATTGGGTAGGTCTTCTAAAGAGGACTTATGGTAAGTCAGAGATAAAAATTAAATAGAAAAGAAGGAGTAGATGGGAACCATGGAAGAATGCCCGTATTTATGAAGTCAAGGATTATGAGATCCTAGACTATGAGCTGCAAGGGACTTTAAAGGCTCCCTAGTCCAACCTCCTTATTTTACAGATGTGGAAACAGAGGCTTACGTGACCTGCCCAGGGTCATACAGGTAACAACAGCAGAGCTGGAACTCAAATCCAAGTGAGTTCTGGGAATTGGGGTGGTGATGGTGGCCATCCCTTGTGGGTACCACATTGCCTCCAAATATCAAACTAAAGTAATAGCAACTTAAAATGAAAGAGAACTCTTGGAACAATAGCCCAAGAGTTGTATCTGGAAAAAAGGAAGGTTCAGATCCTTCCCTTTGCTATGGTCTTTTCAGTAGACCTGGGCCTTGAGAAGCTCCAGCCTCCTGGTCGCTGCTACAACATCAGACCCCCAAAACAAAAGATGCGAGATGCTGGCCCTGACTTACTGAAGCCCAGGGATGGCCTTCACCTCTTGGGATTGGGGGCAGCAGAGCTCGTGCTCCTGCTTCATGGACCACCTTCTAAGAGCGTCGAGTTCTACAACAGTTCAACACAGCTTTCCCAATGAAATAACCAATGGTCCCGTAACAAAATGTTTCAAACTCTAGTACAGGCTCAGATCTCACCCAAGGAGCCCCTGAGGATCCACCAAAGGAGCCTTCATCTCCTTTCCAGGGCACTCAGTAAAGGAATGTGATTTGAGGCATGATGGGTTAGGGGAAGGGAGTCGTGTGTGAAGAAGCGAGAAAAGATCCTGTCTGTGGATAGGCTGGCAGAAAACCAAAGATCCTGGGGTATTCTAGACCAGCGCTGTCAAACTAAAACAGAAACAGGGACCACTAATTCATACATCAGGATCCCTTAGTTTTAAAATGTAATGTTGTCTATGTTTTATTGTATTTTTATTTATTTGGTTAAATATTTCCCAATTACATCTTACTCTGGTTCTGGTGCACTCAGGAAGGTTTTGGGTTGCATGTGGCCAACGGGTTCATGTTTGACACCTTTGCCCTAGAGGCCAACAGGGGCTGAAGCAAGTGACGTCAAAGAGGCCTAAAACTCAGCAGGCTGGATGGGACGCTACCAAAAAGGAGAACTTCCACAGAGAGTGGTGCCAAGCTCAGTGGGAGTCTCCATCCCACTTGAGGAGTGGTCAGGGGGAGGGGGTGCTATTCACAAGGGGTTTTTGCAAAGTTTTGTTTGGGGCTCTGGAATGAAAAGTGACATTGGCTCATTTGTTCTAAGAGTCCTGGCCCAGCAATGGCAGAGGCATTAATGGTGGATCTAACGACGTAACATGGGAAGGGGCAGCTCTCAGTCCTTGACTGAGGATCTAACAGTAATTCACCAACCCTAGTGTAAATGGAAGAACCGTATGCTCTGGTATAGAAAATCAGGCTAAGTAAGAAAAACCAGATGGAAGCGAGCCCCAGCCTAGCTATTAGCAGCTCACAAAGATCATCTACCCAGGGAGCAGCAGAGAGTAGTGGCACCCCAACAGCCCCAACCCACTGGCAAGGCCTCAATTATGGATTGTGAGCTCCTTGAGGACAGGAACTGAGTTTTTGCCTCTCTTTGAATTTCTAGCACTTAGCACAATGCCTAGCACAAAGCAGATAATAATAATAATAATAATAATGATAATGATGATGATGATGATAATAATAGCTAACATTTATATAGCACTTACTAGGGGCTAGGCCCTGTGCTAAGTGCTTAATAAATGTTTGAGGACTGACTTGTTTGTATTCACCGGCTTTATACATATGCATTATGTGTTTTATATGTATTTATTGTTTCCTCCATTAGATGTAGGCTTCTAGTGAGTACAGATTGTCTCACTGCTTGTACTTGTATCTCCAGTGTCTAGCATAGTCATAACACATAGTAGGTGCTTAATAAATATTTGTTGATTGATTGATTGGTGACCAAGGCATGGGGTGGAAAATGTTAAGAATGTGCCTGGTGAATGGCAAACAGCCCGATTTGTTTTGAAGCTCAGGGTGTAGGAGGAAGAATAATGTGAGAAGGCTGGAAAAGGTAACCTGAAGCCCATGTGTGGAGGACCCTGAAATGCCAGGCTAAGGATTAGGACTTTAATGAAAACAAAACAACATTTTTTCTTACCCTACCATTTGCAAAAGCCACAGTGGGATTTTCTCCTTCCTGGAGCCCTGGAAGGAAGGTGCTGGTTGCCATGACAAATAAACATTCAGTCCTGCTCTGGCATTTGCAAGAACCTCCTGGACGGCTCTCCAAGGGGCTTCCTTCTCTCTAGCCACCTCCCCCATGGTCTCTTCTAGCCTCCTGCTTCAGAGTCCATCCCCTGGAGGGATTTCCACTCTACCCCTAACCACCCCACCCCACCCCACCCTCAGCCCTGCCTCACTCCTGACTGGTGACAGCCTCTCCAATAGCACTACTTCAGGAAAGCTGAAGCCTTCCTTCACTTCACTCCCCCTCTCAGGCCACCTTCTCCACAGCCTCCTTGTCCAAGAATCCGACAGTCTGACCATTGCTCTCTGCCCTTTCCACCTCTCCTCCCCTTCCCCCTCTGGTTCTCGAATTAAGAAACATGGTCAGTTAATATCTGTTATTGTTCCTGGACTTGTTGGTCAGTCGTTTCTCAGTCATGTCCAACTCTTTGTACCCCATTTGGGGTGTTCTTGGCAAAGATACTGGACTGGTTTGCCATTTTCTTCTCCAGCTCATTTTACAGATAAAGAAACTGAGGTAGACAGGGTTAAGTGACTTGCCCAGAGTCACACAGTCACACAGTGTCTAGACTAGATTGAAACTCAGGATTGTTCCTAGATGGGGCATGTTAATTAACTCACTTCCCTATGACTTTACTCACCATCTCACTACCTGACCAAAATGCTCCTATCTGGCTAGTACTCCCCTCCTTAAGTAGTCTCCCTCATTAAAATGTAAGCTCCTTGAGGACAGGAGTTGTCTTTGCTTTGTATTTCTATCACCTGGGCTTAGCACAATGCACAGTACCTATTAAGTCCTTAATAAATGCTTGCTTGCACATTCATTCATTCATTCATTTAATCATTCATTCATTCGTCTTTGTCTTTCTTCTTCTTGCAGCATTTTTCTTTCTCTTTCTTTCTGTTTTGGTGAGGCAATCAGGGTTAAGTGACTTGCCTAGGGTCACACAGCTAGTGAGTACCATGTGTCTGAGCCCGTATTTGAACTCAGGTCCTCTTGACTCCAGGGCCAGTGCTCTATCCACTGTGCCACCTAGCTGCCCCTCCTGTAGCATTTTTAAATAGTCGGAATCCCAGCATACTTCCAGAAGCCCACCAAGGGTGCCTTGCAGAGGCAGAAAAGCCAACCAAAAAGGCTACCAGCATGAATACCACAGCACTGGGGACCAATGTCCCAAGGAGGGTCAGTCAACAAGCATTTACTAAGCACCCTCAAAATGCCATATTGTGCTAAGCTCTGGGATTTCGAGGAGAGGCAAAAGACAGCCTAGCCCTCAAGGCACTCAGTCTAACAGGACTAAAGACAAAATATGCAAGCAACTTTATACAAACAAGATACACACAAGATAAATTGGAGATAATCAACAGAGGATTTGAATCAACTGGAGCCCTGACCAGAGGAAAAAGGAGATGAGTCAGAGGTTTTTCCAATTTCCTGGCTTTCTAGGGCATCTTTCCCTAAGAATTCAGAATCCTTCTGCTGTGTCGATTATCTCATCTTACTCATGGGAATTAGGATGGAGCAGGGATCAATCTCTCTCACTTTGCAGATGAGGCCCATAAAAGTTAGAACGGCTTGTCTAGGGTCATATAGGAAAGAGCTAGAAGCCAGCTGCCCACCTACCAAACCACAGCAAAGGCCTTGGGAAATATCACTATGAATCTCTCCACCCACGCCCACACTCAAATACTAAACAGCTAACTAGGACCCTGAAATCACAGAGAGAGCAGATTAGGCAGAGCAGAACAGAGCCCGGAGATGTCAGGGTGCCTGGGACTTTGGGGAACTTCAGAGTGCTCTCATGGAAGGGTGACAGTCAAGGAGAACGAGGGAGGAAACGGCTTGGAGGGAAGAAGGTGACAGACTCTAGAGGCAGCTAGAAGGTCATTACTAAATTAAGTCTCTTTGACAGCGATGTCCCAGGAGTTACTGGGCAGGAAAACCATAAGCCCTCTGTATGGTTCAAGATGTCAAGTAAAGAAATTCAAAAAGCATAATGTAAGAAATAAATTATTTACTTTATCTATCAAAATTGGGCACGGTAGGGAAGTGCTGGTAGGGGTTGGAGGTAGGGGAATAACGCACCGCAAAGAAGATAAAGAAATGGAGTCTGAGTCTCCCATCTCCAGCCCTATGGTGGTTGCTATTGTTCAGTCATTTTCAGTTGTGTCCGAGTCTTCATGACCCATTTGGGGTTTTCTTGGCAAAGATACTGGAGTGGTTTGCCATTTCCTTCTCCAGCTCATTTTATAGATGAGGAAACTGAGGCAAACAGGGTTAAATGACTTGCCCAGGGTCACAGAGCTAGAAAATGTCTCAGAGTTGAATTAAGGAAGATGAGTTCCTGACTCCAAGCCAGGCACTCTATCCACTGGACCTCTTAGTTGCCCCCTAAGCATTTATTAAGCACTTACCATGCGCCAGGCACTGTGCTAAGACCTGGTGAGACAATGAAAGGCAAGAACACATTTCGTGCCTTCAAGCAGCTCACAACATACAAGTCATTTTGTATTTAAAAGATATAAACAAACAGTATAAATCCAAAGTCCTCTCTCAGGGAAAGCACTAGCAGTGTCAGTGGCAGTAGAGGAGGAGACTACCCAGAAGGGCTTCCTGCAGAAGGTGGGATTGGAGCAGTATTCAAGGAAGCCTGGGAGGCCAGGAGCAAAGCAAGAAAGGGTTCTCATCACAGGTGGAACCTGACCTGACCCTTTCGAGAAGCCAGGGATTCTGAGAGGCAGAGGTGAGGAGGGCGTGCAGGCCTGACACAGGGGACAGTTCACAGGGTCAGCAAGTTCGGGGGACAGCCAGCAGACCAGTGTGGCTGGAACATGGCGTCCACAAATGGGAGCCATTGGGGAAAAGATTGGAAAGGTGCTGGGGAGGGCTTTAGACCTCAGGCTCCTCAGAGCTTAGCAGGTTATCCTTGAGGGAATAGGGAGCCACAGAAGATTTTAGAGTAGTTAATACTGCTTTAGAGATATTGTGTCTTAATAACATAAATTTGGCAGAGTGTGGGGGATGGGCTGGAGATGGAAGAGACTAGAAGCAGGCATACCAGCTATTACAAGAGTCCAGGAAAGAGGTGATGAGGGACTGAATTAGGGTAGAAGCTGTTTTCAGTGAGAGGAGACAGATGTGGAGGTAGAATCAATAATATTTTATATGTTCCGGGATGAGGGAGATTATAGATTTAGAGCTGGAAGGAATTTTAGAGACTATTGAGTCCAATGCCCTATTTAGCAGATGAGGAAATTGAGGCAGGCAGTGGTTAAGAGACTTGCCCAGCATCATACAACTAGTAAGTGCCTAAGGTAGGATTTGAATTCAGATCCTCTTGACTCCAAGTCTAGCACCTGGTCCGCTATGCCATGCCACCTTTCACGATGGAAGAAACAAAAATGATTCTGAGATTGTAAAACTGAGTAACTGTCAGGATGTTGCTGAGCAGGTGTTTTATTGCCGCCCAATATGACTGGAGAGACTCACAGGATAGCTAAATTATCACACACACACACACACACACACACACACACACACACACACACACAC